CCACATTGCCCCCTCCCCCCCACCCCCCGAATCTTCCTAACGCCCCAGGACTTTTCCTTGCTGTGCTGTCATGTAAGTCCATTAGCCACCCCGGCGTTCACACGGTCCTGCTACTGTTACATTTCCCATTTGTCTGCCTGCCCATTTTTCATGGATTCTCTTGCTGGTTTTCTATCAGAAGCTTCCTCATCTCATTTGTCTCCCTTCCCTGTCCATGTGTTGCTTGGTGCAGAGAGGTTTCTGTCAGGGGCTCAGTGTCTTAGTCAGACTTCCTCCTTTTTTGTACTGACCGTGTCCCACCCCGCTCACTTCCACCCTTCATCTTCTCCCCTGACATTTGTGGGAAAAGCTCCCCTTGGCAGACTTAGCATCTCCCTCTCCCTAGGCCTTATTGGATTCTGGTGGCTTTTGACAGAGGGGTCACTTGCTTTGCACTCTCTCCCTCCCCAACGCAAGTGACCTCCCCACCCGTGAAGCCCACTGGCCACCTCTTGTTCCTTCTCCAAGCATTTGAGGTCTGAGGTGGCCTCAGTTACCACCTCCTCGTGTGCCCCATGATGTGCTCAGCCACCGGACCGTGCTTGTGACATTTCTGGATTCCCCTAAATGTGCGTTTCCACACTAACTGCCCCTGCTTTGCTGCATGTGGGGATCCCCTTCCGCCGGGTTTTGGCAGACCACGCTTCCTGGTCCCAGGCCTCCCTTTTATTCTATCTCAGTGAGTAGATCGAGGGTAGCTTCTTTTTTGAATGGATTTTCCAGTTTCCAGGTCATTCAAGTCTTAGGAATTTGGCCTGGGGCTGGTCGGGCTGTATCCACTCCAGCAAAGACCAGGGCGGTCACTCCACACACACATACACCAGCAGCCCTCCCATTGGCTTGAGTTCAGCCGGTGCTGGTGGTTGTCCCTGTTTGAGTCTCATCTTCTCTGTGTTTGAGCAGAGCAATCTCTTCCCTCTGTGCTTTCGAAGTGCAAGTTGCAAGGGCTTCAAATCTGGTTTGGAGCTGGCTGCCAGCACCCTGTGCCACCCACTGTTCACCGGGTAAGCGACCCCACAAGCTGCTTGAACTAGACACACACCAGGGGTGCATTTCACACAGCCCTCAAGGAAGCAGGAGTGGAGTCTGAGCTAGGGACTGTCACGTAGCCTTGGGGGGGAGTCGAGTAGGAGAAAGGGCTCCCTAGGGGGACACAGACACCCTGGGCAGCCCCACCCAAGGGACAGGCTCTGGTTTTGCCCTTTCCAAGCCCCCTCTTTGGTCTGCCGCCCTGAGATCCCAAACACACATTTGCCCGGGCCTTGCGTTGCCCAGAGTCCTGCTCACTGGGGGTATGTCTACACTACCCCGCTAGTTCGAACTAGCGGGGTAATGTATGCATACCGCACTTGCTAATGAAGCCCGGGATTTGAATTTCCCGGGCTTCATTAGCATAAGCGGGGAGCC